GATCTCAGAGAGAGATACAGAAGGAAGCCCATATGTGGTGTTCATCTGTATCATCATCATTGGCAGCTAGCTAGCTTCCACTTCTGATGAATCATTAATATATATATATATGTTCTTCATTATTCCAGAAGGCATATAGATAAATATAAAGAGATGGGATGGGAGGTGGAAGAAGTAGAATAAGGGAAGAAAGATGAAAGTGTATTTGTGCAATATGAATAATATTATAATATCATAGATGGATTGCGTGCCAGAGATGGAAGGCTATATGGTGATCTCAATTATGAGATGAGTTCGCGTCCGCATCAAATGGATAAGATAACAACAGTCTCACACACATTTGGTGAGTGGACCTTCCACTTTTTAACACATCTTCTACTCTATATGCCTTAATTACCTCTTACCAACTCCTTCGCCTTCCCCTTGTTTCTAGGGTTGGTATACTCCTCATTTCCCTCATCTTTACTTTGTTCTTTTCTCCTCAAAACATCACTATTTTATTAACATTATTGATCAAGCTTGCTAATTAAGGCACTTACCAGATCAGATTTTATGATATAGATAGCACACACGCCCGTGTTTACCGTTTTTCACTCAACAAACCGGCGTAGATACAGCTAGGGATAAGCTCTCACCTAATTTTGTTCTCGTGAGCTGTGTGAGCCAAACAACTTAATATATATATATGTAGACACAGTGTATATGGACTGTTATATATATATATATATATATATATATATAAAGCGTACTTGAGAAGACCATAAAGAAGAAAGAAAGAAAAAGGAGGGGGACATGGAAGCTGGTAGAGGTGGATTATGAAGAGCACAGCTGAAAGTGATGGAGAATTGAAGGACCCATTTGCTCTTAGCTGTGCTGTAAGGTCATTTCAAGGGCAATGCAACTAACTAGTTTTATTTTGTATGCACAATTTCCCCCCCACATTTTTCTTGTTACTTCTAACCCCATCCTTTCAATTTTGATAGCCAACATAGCAAATGTTTAGTTTACATTTGTTTCCATAACTCCTTATAATTTGTTTCGTCAACAAAGTGTGATATGTGCGAGGAATACTCCTATGTATAGAACTTAGGTATCGAACGGTTATTTAAGCATAATTCAAGATTTAATAAAACTAGACTAGAATTATCATCTCGGATAACTTTCTTGACAAAAAAAAGCAAAGGCAGGCCAACAATGGCAGGACCAAGTACTTGGTGCTATTACAAAAACAAGGTAATTACAATACCAACTCCTTAACTTCGGTACTAATTAGCTTCTACGTACCTTGTTTCTGCTTGCAAAATGTGCCTCATAGAAATGAACAAAAATCTCTCCTCCAAATGTTTTATAAACAAAAAAAAAAAAAAGACGGATGGGAGTATAATATAATACGCAGCCGCAAAAATAGGAAAAAAACAATCTTGTACAGATAAGCCTGGGGCCGCCAAAAAATAATAAAGAAAGGAAAAAAATCAACAGATGTTTAATCACTCATGAGCACAACTAGAAAAGGTCAATTCCTAAACATAGGATTACATGTCACCCTAATGGATCAGTCACACTTGTTAGTCCATCAATCACCTTATAAAAGCAGTAATCTCAAAATGTATATTAATCAAATTAATTTGTTGATCCTAATTACTACTTTTCTTGATTAATTTTGTCACAAGCAACGATCCAGTCGCTTGTTGAAATGGACTCTTATCTTATCTAAATAATCCTACATAATTAAATATTGAGTTTAGTTTTTTCAAAGTGCCATTAATTATTCTTCATCATTGACTGGTGAACTGCAAAGTTGACAACTTAGCACAGCTTAGAAAGTGAGTGTTACAGTTTAGAAAAACAATGCTAAAAGACAAAGAAAGGTTACTGTTTATGGAAGGGCCTAACAACCTTTAATCATAATCTAATTCCTTCACAATCTGTCTTTTCTCTCTTTCTTTGTACAAAATACTAACAGGCTAATCTATAAGCCTATAACCCTACTAAAGATCATGAGCATGATATTATTAACAAGTCATCCTCTTTTTGTTTTTTTTTTCAAAACATGAATAATACTTCTTTGTCTTTTAATATATATTTCAGAAGAATTGCTGATTCTTATTATGAGCTGCTACTAGCTAGGTATGAGATATACTAATTGTATTACATATCAGTGTTTTAAATATGGGTAAAAATGCCTTCCTCAGATTTTTCTTTAAACATAAAGTTGTGAATTTGAACCTTTTGTGAATGGTATGATTAGGGTATGGATTAAGAAAAATATTGATAAATTTGAATTTAATAGTTTATGTGTTACTCCTAATACCAGGTAAGAGGGTTCAATGTTCAAGCCTTCCCACTATATAGCAGATGTGTGAGTTTATTAAAAAAGAGAAAATTAATCACTCGACCACATTTTTTTAATTCTGATGAGGTGGTTAAATATGCTTCACTATTAATAATATTAATAAGGAAGGAGGAGTACTCTTTCTTCCTCCTTATTTTTAACCAAGTTCCTTTTAAGTTAATTATAAATCATTATGAATATGATAGTGAGGAGTTCCTTGAAATTAGTTACCGATCTTAATTTTGGATACTCTCTTTCCAAATTAATTACCACTTCGTTTATTAGACAATCTCTTTCTCACTAACATATGCTATATTGGGATTTAAAATAAATGCTCATCTCCTTAATATAAAACCCAATTGATTAATCTAGATAGATTAAAAAATAAATAAATTATTTAATTAAAACATGTTACATAATTTTTTAAAAATATTTAAGTGTATCATTAGATTATCTATCAGTTTATAAGTCAAACAAATTAATTTTAAAAAATAAGAAATATACGTATTTTAAAATTATTTATTTATTTTTTAGTCTCTATAAATTAGTTAATAAAGTCTTATATTTAGAATCAGAAGCAGTATTATATTTAGAATCAAATGAAAAAAAATCTTATATTAAGGGTAAAGAAGAGCATAATTTATCTTTAGTAATATACACAAAACTAAAGATAAATTATGCTATATAATGCTATAAAAACATGCCTTAAATAAAGATCGAAAGCTAGTGATATACACAGTTGCATACTATATTAGTGTATACGAAGAAACTAATTTCTTATACTCGCTTCGTGACTACCATCCGCTGACATGTCAGATCGAAAGCTTCATAAAAGTGCACGTGGAAGCATCCATGTGGCTCAAGAGACGGATGTTTCCTCTGCTAGCTGGAGCCCACACTCCATCTCAGACGTATAGGTAATTGTGTATAAACACATATCATTTGTTGAAAACGCAAGAAACCAAAAAAATTAAAATAAAATTAGTAACTTAAACTTAAGTTCACCAACATAAACATATGTGTAGTTTTATTAAAATGATATTAATACCAATTAATTATATGCCTGTTTATCACGATTAAAATATTTAATAATAAACAAATGTATACTAGATTTATTTAAAACACAAAGAATATGGTATTTAAAAAACAAAAAATACATTAAATGTTTAAATACATTAACATTATGGGCAGCTCCTTACGATTGAGATTTTTTTTTCTAAAATGGAAGATTCGGATGCCCAAAAATAGAAAGACAGTGATCTGACTTATTGGATAATTTAACATTTTTTGTTTTGTATGGGTGTATGGAAAGTGGAAACAAACATTTGAATAAGTATCAGAAATTCTATTTTTATAGCATCAAAATTAATTATTTTTTGGTGCCACAAAAAATTAAGATATCAGAAAACAACAATACTAGCGAAATATAGGCCACTCGTACGTGATGATAGAAAGAATAACACAGGCAGTATATATGAGCTTGATTCTTACTCTGTCCTTCTAACTTTTGCTTTTTAAGCTCCTTATGCCTCATGTTTACTATTGAAGGGTGTTTGGATGGAAGCCAAAATATGATTTTAAAAATATTTTTACGGTATACAAAATAAATATATGAAAGAATTTATTTCGTTTTGTAGAAAAATACTTTTTAAAAATATTTTTTCATTTTGCCAAACACCCCTTCAAGAATAAAAAAATTATAGTAATCTCAGGCCATGTGAAGAGGGTCAAAATATAAGGAAACTATTAAGAGTTAAATAAGAATGGCCTATTAAATATTTTCTTTGTTCTTAATTAATATAGTTGATTAAAAAATTATATAAATTATTTAATTATAATAAATATGACTTAATCTCTTTAAAATATTCTTGTATAATATTATTATATATATATCCAAAATAAAATAAGTAGAGATTTTATATTTAGAATGATGACCAAAATCTTAAACGAGTCGACCGGATGAGTGATACATTATCATGAAAGTTACGAGCAGCCTCCAAATCAATTCATGCAAATTATGGCAGATTAAAGAAAAGAAAACTAACAATTGATGAGGAAAAAAACGTCGTCGTTCGGGAAAGGGGCAGGACAGCCTCACGTGACGGTCATGTCCATGTGGGGCCCAGCACCCCGTCCTACCTAGGTTGGCGCTCAGGCCCACTTCCGTCATTCTCTCTCCTCATCATGACATGTAACTTTTTTTTAAAACTTTAATATGAGATTTCATTTAAACGTTAATCCAGAGGGTTTCTGGGCAAAGGTCCAACATGTTTTTATCAAATTAACATATTTATATACTAAATAAAATGTTTATAAATTCTGTAAACCGGGCATTAAATTTTGGAAGGAGATCCTCTCATTAAATTTTTATATAAATTTCAACCAATTATACGACCAATAATATTGTATAATAAAATAGTGAATATTGAGCATTGAAAGAACAATATAAGCATATAAATTTAGAGAAAACAAGATAATGAGAAGTCTCTGTCTTAAATTTATTTTTGCCAGAAGTAATGCTTTTTGTTATTATTTCATATAAATTTCGCGTAAACATCTTATGGAAAGAGCTTAATTTTGTTGTATATAAATACCCAACCTTCCTACTCGGAACTTGTTGATCTTGAAGCGTTTCATTTCATTTCACTCGTCTCTCTCGCCCTCCCGCTTGTGCCTTGGCTTCGCACGACCTCATGACCTTCTCCTACTGGCCATGGCCGTTCTTCTAAATTGCAAGTTACTATAGAATACGTTTTGCAGCCCCTCCGTACTTTAGCACCGTCATTACCTCCTGTGACTTTCTTCCTCTGTTGTTTTCGTTCACCTCACAACATGTTGCGCTGTCTCGACAACTCCGGGAACTTCACCGGCAACTGCTCAGACATGACGGTGTTGGAAAGGCAAAGGATGAGGATGAAATGGCAACAAGAGCAACCATGTCACGAAAACCAGAGCTTGTATGGTGATTCTGCGCTCGGTGAGGTCGTGGCTAAGTCCATGAAGCCCGAGCTGGGCCAACTCCACTTTCCCAGTTTCGGGTTGGGGTCTTCTAGATTTGAAGCGGCTTCTGCAATTTCAGCAACTTCCATGGCGGGAGTTGAAGAATCCAGAGGCACAGGCTCTGTTCCAGAGAAGGAGAAGATGAGCTCTGCATGTGGGAAGCACAGCTTCAAGAAGAGAAAATCCGATAAGATTCATAGCTCCAAGGTGTGTTTATACTTACGAGGTAATTGCGCGTCATTTTGGGTGAAACGGCTATGGAGAATCATGGGTGGGTTTTGTTTTTGTTCAGGTTGTTGCAGAAAGTGAAAACAAAGAGAAGAAGATGAAAGGAGGTGGAGAGGAAGGAGAATCCAAAATAACAGAGCAAAATAGCAACAAGAACACCACAACCAACAACAGCAGCAGCAAAGACACATGTGGAGGCACCTCAAAAGGAAATTCGAAGGCGTCCGAGGTTCAAAAGACTGATTACATCCATGTCCGAGCACGTCGTGGCCAAGCCACTGACAGCCATAGCCTAGCTGAAAGAGTGAGTTCCTTCCCCCATAGTAATAGCTTCACAATTCCTTTCTTTCTTTTATTTGTTTCCTGAGATGAACGCAAACTGTTGTGATCGATGCAGGTTAGAAGGGAAAAGATCAGCGAGAGAATGAAGTATTTGCAGGATTTAGTACCAGGTTGTAACAAAATCACAGGAAAAGCTGGAATGCTTGATGAGATCATCAACTATGTTCAATCTCTTCAACGTCAAGTAGAGGTTTGGAATTTGAGCCCTTTCATTCTCTTCAATTCAATTTCTGGTTTTCCTATGGACGTTCAAAATAATGGCATTTTCACTCGCTTTTGCTGCAGTTCTTGTCAATGAAATTGGCTGCTGTAAACCCAGCTCTTGACTTCAACCGAGATGATCTGTTCTCCAAAGAGGTAATACAACAAATACACACATCAAACCACACGACAAGACATGTAGTTGTTGATGTTTGCGAGGATATTCACAAGATTTATCTTAATTAACACAGGTTTTTAGTACTTGTGGTCCGAGTTTTGCCACATTTGGGATGGGATCAGACATGAACAATCCAGCATATCTTCAGTTCAACTCAGGGCAACAGGTTCCTCCTCCCTCAATCCCCGAAACGTTTCTTGACTCCTGCTGTTTCCCTGTACGTTTCACCTTTTTTCTTCTGTGTATCATGTTCAGTGAAAAAACAATCATGGTTTCTTGTTCTTGTATGGTACAGTAAAAGTAAGAGAAGGATGAGAGTGTGAACGATGCATTCAAGTCAAACTTCACTCATGTCTTTCTGTTTCTCAACTGTGCAATAATAAAGAACGATCCATTTCCTTTTCAAGTTCTGTCATAACTATAATCATCAGTTTTCTCATGATGCAGTCCCTTTTTTTTTTCTTTCAAATTTTTCTTAACTGCAGCAAATTCTACCATCCTCTACTTACGAATCTGATCTCCACAAGCTAATCAGTGTGGGTTCTGATCAACCACGAGCAGTATCATCATCCTTTCTTTCTCAGCCATTCACAGGTACTACAGATTTATTTGAAAAATAAAAAGCCCAGTTCATATTGTGTTGAATATGACATGATCTTATAATTTGATAGCCGTCAAATCATATTTTTGCCCTTATAGCTTTCATGTTTTAAAAGCGAAAGAAAGAAACAAAACTGAGTGGATTTTTGGACAAGTACTGATAGAGACATGAGAGGCCCCAGACGCTTTTTTTCGCAGTTGTTTTCTTTTACATTGGTGTTCCTCTTCTTCTTCCCCTTTCTTAGTATAATTAATTATAGCGAAGTTACTCACTTCCTTTTCTTTCTGAATGTGTGCAGGTGTAGTTGAAGCTAGCCATCCGAAGATGGAGATGTAGGCTCAAGTTATAATTATCAATTTGTGGGATGAATTTTCTCAGTTCCAATCGATGCTTATCATGCTGATTCTTTTTGTTTTCTTTTTAAAGTACATAACCGTATATTATTGTTTGTACACTCGCTCCATTGTATAAATAATATCACAATAATACCTTTTAACTTCAGTCACCCTCTGTTGCACTCCCTAATTACAGATAGCCTAAGACTTACCCTAACATCCGGATTTGAATTAGAATTGAGAGTTGCATTATGTTTTCCTGTATCTGTCTGGTCTTGATCCGAAGCGCTTATGGTTTTTTAACTTTTTACTTCCTAAGACTTGCTTTTTACGATTGCATGAAGATCTATCCAACCATCCATTATGAAGGAGGAAGAGATAAACTGGAAAATGATACTTTAGGACCTTTAAACAACAAGAAGAAGAAGGACCGATTCCAAGTGAAATATCATGATTTTCAAGTAAAATTTCGTTATCTATAACTGTCGTTATTGTTATTGTTGTGATATGGCGTGACGGTGCCACGGTAAAACTGTAAAACGAGGGGAGGGAACAAGGAGGAAAGAGAAAGAGGACAAGAGGCAGAGAGTGAGAGAGGGAAGTACTGGGGACAGAATGATAGCCATTTGAAAGAGACTGATAACAATGGCACAGAATGATGGATTCCTAGCTTTTATTGTGAGGGGCAAGAGGGGGGAGATAGGTAGGAATTTGCATGTGTTCAATTTATTACCTTGCTTTTTTCTCTTCTTCAGCAGCCTAAAGTGAATTATGAGCGATTCTGTTCAATTTTTTCCCCGTTTTACAAAGGCATTGCTATTTTCATGGCTTTGGCTAAATGTCGGGATGTTCAGAAAAGAGCAAAGGCCAGTTTGCATAGAAATTAAGGAATACTGTTCCATGTTGTTAGCTTCAGTTGTTGATGGACTCATAGCAACCAAGAACGTAACTCAGATTTCATTAATTATCTCAGTTTCATCAATAGTTTCACGTTTCTTTCAATTTGAATCAGAAAAGTGAAAACATCTCGTGGCGCAAGGAATTCGATGCATGATCACAAATTCATCGAACCAAGAGTTGATTTAACTAGAAACATGGAGCATGAATATTGTGGATGTGTTACTCTTCTGTTTCTGGCCTGAAAGAAGCTGATAGAATTAGAAGATCCAAATGATGAAGAGAGAGACGGAGAGGTTATTGGGCGTAAAAGTGTGTCTTAATATGAATGAAAGGGGCCTTTCAATGGGCGACGGGGGGACCATTTAAGGTTGCTAATTGCAGCTTCCTTCATTTTCTTGGGATCGCAGATAAGAGCCTGGCCTTCTATTGGGGCTATGGGGGGAGGGGACCCTTATCCAAGATCCTCATGATTCTCTTTGTTCCTCCATGCTTTTGGATTTTACCTTCCTTCGTGACTGGGTCCCACTTCTCCTTTCTCTGCAACTCGCATTCACATGGTGACCCATTGTGAAAAACCAGAGAGATTCCCTTTCTTGGCGTTTGCAGCATCGAACAGGTGAAAACCCCAATGGTTTATGGTTTCAGGTCATTTTTTCTTCTCTTCATTGAGCTTATTGGAAGCTTCCGTTATTTCCAGGTCCAAACAAACCATAACAATTACTCCTAAAGAATAGGGTGGAGAGAGAGAGTTTTTTTTGTCTTGTTTATAAGTGGCTTCATTAAATTTTTAAGGTGAATATATTATTTTGTCCTTCATTTGTTATAGTTTAAGTAGTTATCTCTTTTGAAAGGTGTATATATTAAATATGGATAAAATTAAAAAATTATTATATTTTAATAGAGTTAATACATCTTAAGTTTTTTCTTAACCTATATAAAATATGTTAAAAGTGTCTTATAAACAGGATCAGAAAAATAACATAAAGTAGGCTCTAAATTTTAACAAATCTCCTATCTTATTCAACCTATTGGCAGCTGGCTGGACCACTCTACCAATGAAGCAGACTAATGGGCTAGGCCACGAGAAACTCTATCGGCCTAGGGATCATCTCCCCCCGGGCCGATTTTTTTTTTTGGGTTTAAATATAATCTTGTTCATGATAGTATCATACACTAAATGTCAATACAATAAAAATTCGAATCTTATTCATCACGTTACGGGCACTAACTCTTTCCATTAGACTTAACTCCTATTGGTTGCTTCTTTTTTTAATTAGAAAATGTCAGTTAAGTTTCAAGATACCAATTTTCTGAAAAATGAATCAGAAGTGTCCATCTAAATTATTGCAAATTTTGGAATCTCACCCGCAAATAAGATATTTAACTTTTAAACATTCTCAATTCATAATTGAGATCTTTGACCTAACTGTCATCCTCCCTTAATTAAATCTTGTATACACAAGAGGCCGACCTCCAGGACTCTTTCGAATTCGTTTGTGGTGATCTGAAAATTACAACTGATGCAATGTTGTTCACTATAATTACAAACACACTTCCATCGTCACGCTAATCTGTAATAGCTACACATACAATCCAACCAAACAACAAAAACAAAGCACAAGCTTCGGAAATAATAATAATAATATTTTCCAAGAATCCATCTGGCCATTAGATGATTGACTCGTCCCCAGCATCTGCAAGCAAAGAAATTAAATTAAATTCGCTCAAATCTGATGAGAACTCCAATGAAGAAGAAGGACGGTAAAGGATTAGGCACCTTTCGCAGGAACTACCACGACAGGGGCTACTTTACAGTGGTGAAAGCAGTATTCACCAACGCTTCCCTGCAGTACACTGAATAAATTTACATGCATGAGAACTCCAGAAATTAAGAGAACATATGAGGGCATAATTGTGGCTCGTCCAAGCATCATACAAAATACATTCCATCCAGTCCATGACAAGTTCACAGGTTTAGAACTATAATTTGAAGCATATTGCATAGATAATGTCGGGCATATTTACACATATACTGATGATTATTTTAATCAATTCATCTTTGACAGAGGGAGTATTGCTCAGAATCCCTCAAGGGACAAGAGAAAGGGAAGTGAAAAGTTAAATCAAACCTTTGAATTAAGCTTCTGCCTCTGGTTCCCAGAACCACAGCCGCAGGCTTGATTCTCTCTGCTTCCTTGCATATTGCTTTTCCAGGATCACCTTGTACAATCCGAGCCACTGTCTTCACCTGCTTCCACCCCAACATCAGTACCACAGATCATCATCAAAAGGAGCAGCAGGCTAATGGACAAAACTTGGACACACTAAATCTGTCCTTTTATATATAAAGCAACGAAACATTTGTGAACCATGACAAGAAACTCTATGACATGCTAGATGGTTTCTAGCTTAGCAAAGAAACACTACAATTGTTGAAAAGAAGCTGCATATCGAATTGCCAAATCTGAATATCAGCATTTACCAAGGAGTGGCATTGCTTTTTCGAAGTTCAGGAATCTAGCTAATACATAAAAGCTCTCAGTTCGAATCCATACAATTGTATTTATTGTAGTACAGGTTCACCTCGTTGAAAATGGCATCAGTTCTTCCCAACATTTTACAGTGATGAATACAGGATATGGCAAAAGAATTCATCTCTGAGCTACTTTTTCCCCTTTAATTACAGTCCACACATCTCAAGGACTACTCAAAGCGCTATCAAATTATAATCAGTGGGAGCCCAATTTAAAGAAAAAAACTCACCATTGCAACTTTATAGGCCTCGACCGCTAATTGCTCCATGAGGCTCTGGGTGGTGTCGTAAACAATCTGGTTACTGACGTCTGAAAAATAACAAAAAATTTTCGAGATTAAATACAAATTCTGGGACTGGGTTAGAGAGAGAAAGAGAGAACAGTAGTATCATATATTGTGAAGGTGAAATTTCAATTTAGCTGTTATGTTTGGTTGACGAGTTACTCAAAAGCATTCAAGTCGGGCTAGATGTTATGGTTAGAAAGAAAATGAGATAAGTGACAGATGATGAGAACTGGGGACTAACCGGAGACGGCGTGAACGAGATGGATAGTGTCGGCGAGGCGGCAGAGGTGGATGAGAACCCAATCAAAAGCGTGCTTGCTGTTGGGGCCGTGATCTATAGCTACCAGTATGTCTCTTCCTCTTCTTCGTTCTCCTGTTTCCCTATCAAGTTCTGGCGGAGGCACCTTCGGAATCATCGACGGAAGTACCACTTCTCTGTAACTGTACTCTTCTACGTCCTCCATCACCGGCTCCATTATTTTCCTTCACCCCACAACGATTTAGCCTTTTCTTTGCCTCCCAAGCAGCTGGCTCTGAGCGTCGACTGCGATTTACGAAGTTGGTAAACGCGTCAATAGATAGCTGGCTCGTGCTTTTCTGGGTCTTCATGCACCGAAAAAAGGTCAAAAGAAATTTCCACAATGTCATGATCAATTTCTTTTGACCAGGAATTTCGTGATCAATTTGATCACTGTGATCTGTGAAGCCTTTTAAGCGTTCGAATTCAACTATCTTTATTTATGTGGTCGTCCATGGCGGCTCGTATACATTACGATTTACGGCTATATATTAATTTGATCAATTTGTGGATATACTCCTCCGGTCCTAATTATAAGATCCAATTGACTTATTTGAGGAGATTAAGGAAGTAAGTTAAATTGGTTATTTATAATAAATAAGTGTTGTTCATTCCTAAAATATCCTTGCTAATTAAGTATATTGGCTAAAACTATCATTATTAGAAGGATTATCTTGGAAAAAATGCATAAATATAAGAGACAAATGGATTGGGGTCTTATAATTAGGACCAAATAAAAAGTCAAATGGGGTCTTATAATAAGAACCGGAGGAGTACATGGATTCCACGTCGGATTTCTTCAAGACTTCAGCTAACCAAGCGCGGTCGAGTTTAAGGAAGGCGATGCAAACCCGCTGTAGTACGGAAAGAGGGAGATATGAAAATGTCAATATTATTTAATTCAAAAAAATTATAATAAGGTCTCCAAAAAAATAATTATAAAACAAATCTTAGAAGTTATCATTTTCTATTACAAGTTACTTATATTGTTATTGAGACTTTTTAATAATTATTTTTTTAACCTCATTCTAATTATTTCTTTAATTTATAATTAAAGATTTAAAATAAACAATAAGTTTTAGAAAATATACTGCGTATTTCCATATAAATAATTTAATTAATAAAACACTCATAACATTTAAGGATGGATCTTGACGTGACGAGAAAATCACAACTGGTGAATGTTTCTCATAACTTTGCTTGGGTTCAGTGATTAATTTATTGGGCAAATATTTACATCAAACTCTCTATAATTATTTATTGAGTTCTTTAACCACATATGAATATGTGTACTATTTTGGAAATATTATTATTTAATAGTATTTAATTATAAATCTATTATAAAAAAGTCAAAGACATAGGGAATTTATACAATAGATATAAAAATTTGAATAATTCGTATTTTTCCAAAATTATTTATGTGAGACCGCAATAGTAATTTTTCTAATTTTTACCCTCTAAGCAACTTAACTTTCATTGAGCTTCAAGGGCCAAAAAGAGAAAACTCCATTTCCATCCACAAAGCTTTTAGTTTGATTAGCCGTGAGCGCATGATTGGCTAAGACCCACGACCCCTCCAAGAATGCTAGATTTTTACTCTTCAATATGACAATTGTTCGTCGATGACACATTGGGACTAAAATGTATGAAAACTAGTGTAACTGCAATCCTCTTTCCATGATACGATCTGCTAGATCCATTTTCACTTACAATATCATCCTTCTTTTAGTTTTCCATTTCTGCTCTCTTTAAACAGGATCACTTACGTTGTTGTGTTCTCCGTGCCCGAATCCAGATGGGTCCGTTTAAATGG